AGTATATATTTCAATTTTAGGAATAATTTTGTATCAAAAATGTGTTTTTGTCCTCTCATCTTGGAAAATATAGGTTTTTGCCACTTTTTGCCACTTTGCTTGGCAAAAACCTGTTTTTGCCAGGACGGTTTTTACCGGTATTTACCATGGTTTTTTCCACCTGCGGCAAAATCTTGCCAACCCTGGTCAAAGGTAAAACCGTCTACGTTATCACGATCTTGAAGAAAGATCATACCGCTCTTCAGATGTTCAAGAAAAATATAACAGTATTCTCGAACAAGCCAAAAGAAATCAAAGGTTTCGAAATTCTTGATGAAGAAAATTTAGAAGATTGGTTTCAAAGTGATGCATGTGAGCCTGGCTTCCAGTATTTGACTGATGAAGACTTTGTTGTGTTGTTAAATCAAATAGTGATGTTAGTAACTGATGCAGAAGATGTAGTAAATGAATGAAATACAATTTCTCATTCTGCTGCTCTGTGGAAACTTTATTAGATTACATGGGAGGATTTGATTACAGTGATTTACTGCGGTTCGTAAAATTTGTGTATCAATATATGGCGACGACGCATTACACATTTTTTAATAAGAAAAATTCCTAGTTTGATATTATGCATGCAAATGTCAGTAATTTTTATACTGATATTGAATAAATTTGATATTTTTTGTACTGATATTGAATAAAAGGAGTTTTCGGATTATCCGCGTTTTTCGATTGTCCGTGCGACCTGTCCCGGTGATTAACGCGGATAATCGGGAGTGCGCTGTATAATATTAATTTCTAAAATGATCATACTAATAATTTTTTTCCTAAGCATACCGTAATGCATCTGTAAGAGTTTCAAGATTCTAACATCATAAATAAAAGTATAAAATAAGTTTCTTTTTTTGTTAAGTAACATTGTTTAATTTTTCATTTCCTGAATAATATTACTTAATCATGGTCTAAGACGTTGAAAACATGCAAAATTTTACAAGATTTGAACACCCTTTTACAGAACAAAATAAACCAATTTTTGATAACAAGATAGCAAATTTCTGGTATGTCAGGTCTATTAGTTGAACGGTGATGGTAAGTTGATTATTAGGCATTCCTATAGACATGTGTCAAATAAAGCTAGAAGAGTGGTAAAATGTGGATTCAAATGTAAGTGTAAAATATTTTAAAAAGCATGGAATTTTGATTTTGTTGGATGATTTTTCGTTAAAGATGTTTTTTGTGGGTCTCAGCAGATGAGGATGAAGTAGAATCCATTGCAGAGTAGACTGGTATGACAAAACTGCTAACATTGATGAATCTGACACAAATGGTGTTCTGGAATCTTTAAATTTGCAGCTTTATTGTATGTTTTAAATTCTTTATTGCAATATATTTTCTGATATTTTATCATATTATTACAATATATATATATATATTGTACAACAACAGTGTCGTACTGACCAATTTTCTAGCGCCATCCTCTTATCTGACTCTAAAGCAGCACTTCTTGATATTAACTCTCCACTGATTCCCCAATCCATCTCCATTCAGAAACGCATTGATTGTCTGAAAGATCTGACAATAAAAGGCAAGCAAATCGTCCTCCAGTGGATCCCGGAACATTGCGGGGTTTGGGGTAATGAAAAAGCTGATTTTTTGGCCAAGAAAGGAACAACTACTGCCCAAGCATCTCGTTGCTCCATCACTCTGCACTAATTTAAATTGCTGGTCCAAAACCAATTCCAGAACATGCTCTCAGAGAATTTCCGTAAAAGCAATATACACAAAACCTGGTTCAACCATATTTTAACTATCCCAAATCAGCCCAGGTTTAAGGCAGTTGCTCTCTTTAGACTTGTAATGGGCCATGACTGTCTGGCCAAACACCTTTTTAGTATAAAAATTTTTGATTGTCCTAAATGCAAGCTCTATTGCCTTGGGGAGGACATGGATCTGCCCCATATTTCTGTCTGTCCTGCGCTCATCTCCACTACTGTGTGTGGATGTTACTGGGATGCTAGGGCCCGTATAGACTAAGCATGTCACTATGCATTCTATTCTATTTATCTCTTTTTGTTTTGTTTTTCTTGTTATTTTATCCTTTTTGTTCTTTTAAATTGGCCTGCCATTAGAAACAAAAAAAAAAATAGATATATATATAAATTTTTTGAAATACTCTTGAACAAATTCTCATATCTTTTCTTATTCATTATTTTTTTCTGAATATAACTGAAAGTATTGTTCCTAAAACACTTTTTTTTCACTTAGAAAATATGATGAGAAAAAATCCAAAATTAATTGCAAGTAACATATTAAAAACAGTTTTTGTAAGGGTTAATTTGTCCAGCTAACTACAATGGTCAAGCTGCCAAATAGATTTTAAACTTGCAATTAAAAAAATAAAAAAAAACATGTAGATGTTTGCTTAGGAGTGGCTAGGAGCACGCCTTAGGTCCCTTTCCGTGATTTTTTTTATTTTTAAAGTTTCTCAGCGGTGCTGCCCAGAAGTTACCAAGACTAAGCGATTATTCTGCCACAGATCACGATACGGAACTCTTCCTGTAAATTGATATAGAGTTATCCATATCTATTTCTTTGTTTATAATGGATCAATGTGTCACGATCAATGAATGTTCAACTTTATTCATGGTGTATAAGTCTACCCTTTGATTTTTGTAAAACTTTGATGGGTTGAAAAGTCGACTTATACACTGGTACTACACATAGTAATAGTTTTATTTAGAATTTGATAGCACGGTAATCCTTTATTTTCGTTTATAAAGTGCTTTGCTTAAACTTTTTCTTAATATTGTATTTGAACCATTAGGACTTTTGTTACATTAATGATAAAATTCATAGCATAGGGAATACTATTAGTTTTCTGAACGTTATAGGTATAATGAAGGTTTTAATAATTAGTTTCACTTTATGATTTAATATTAAAGGACAAAATGCATTTTACAATCAAATCACAAGCTTCCATCATTTATGTTTTCCCACAGGTATCTAAGATATCAGTCACACAAACACATATATGTGTAGGTGTCTGTAAAAGAACATAAAAGATGAAAACTTTCAGGAGAAATTATAACTAAAACAATGCATATTAATTAAATAATTCATGACATAAAAAAAATTAAATATAACTATGAAAAAACAAGTGCCATGAAGAAACACATTTCAAATGCAAAACAAAAACATAAACACATATAATACATCTCGATCAAATTTATGATGATCTATACGGCCACATAAATATAATATGAATAAAAGAGCAAAAAAGACCTCTTTTAATCCACATATTCCTTTATCTTCATATTTAGACAAGCCATCAGCATAATTACAAGACATCTTTCCTGAATAATTTGAGTAAATTTGTTTACAGACCGATGTCGTTTAAAAAAAATTTCCTTAGATTTATTCCGAATTTTATGAACTTTGCGTTTGACTAGTCAACAAGGTTTTCAATATTAAAAGAACGAAAACTCGTTTTAGGGTTCTGGTGTATTTACTAGAGATCATAATTTGTAGATGAACCTAATGTTTCAGAGAAAGAAAAACAGAAAGCTCTCAACTCAACTCTGCTCGCAATATTTTGTAAACAAATATTGGGATTGGAGTGAAAATGTGCTTCAGAGCCGGACATTAGTTACATTTTTTTCAAACTCTTTTAAATTCTATATTTGTTCAATTATCGAACCAAAATAATAGACCATGAATAAAATACAGAGTTCTGGTATCTTAAAACGATTATTGTCTTCTAATATTTGTAAACACTGGCTGCTGTGTAGGTTTTGTATGCGTTAGTTCATTTTTTCTGAAAAATGTAAAATATCTCTAAGCATGTATATGTACATAAAGTTTGTATGCAAAACGGAATAAAAATTATATTTCTTTTTTAAAGCACAGAAGAGACTAATCATAAAAGGATTACAATGCTGTTAAGATAAGCTTAATTTTAAGTTTCTGTCTGTTGAAGACAAAGCACAGCTACTGTTTTATCTGTGGCTGAATAATCGCCAAGTCTTGGCTACTTCCAGGCAGCAGTCCGTCAGAAACTGAAGAAAACATCACAGGAAGGGACCAACTTGAAATGTATAACTGATAGCAATAACTAACATTTTTTTTAAAGTTTCCGAGTTTAAAATCTATTTGGCACCTTGGCGATTGTAGCTGGCACAACAGATCATGATACAGAAATATCCCCACTGTTTCAATCAAATAAGTGGCAGTTTTATGCAAATTTTTATTTCGCAGAACTATAAAAATAATGTTTCTGTTTAATAATTGTACTTGCATATCATTGCCCATCAGTGTTTGAGTATTGTCTACTATATTGCTTAATTTGTAGATGAAACAGGCTAATATTCTAGAGCCTCCTTTTTCAAGTCATAAAATTAAGTTTCAAAATTATGTCATCTTAGAATATAATGACAGGTATGATGTAATAGAATATAATGACATCTTAGATTATAAACGGTCCACTTTTTTTTTCTCACTGAAAAATTGACCATATAGTATGTTATTTTTATAACACAAACCTCCTTTTTTCTCCCATCTATGTTTTTTTTTTTCAAAATGCTCAAATGATAGTTCTTTTACTAAAAGTTAAAATAAAAATTGAAGAGGACCAACATGCCCCTAGGGAAGCCGGAGTAAGTTGTAAAGCACGTTAGACAATCTAACAAAATGTATTCAGAAATAATACTAAAAGATAAATGTTATCCAATACAGTAATTGCATTATATTCTTCAACATTTAAAATTAAAATGCATTTTTTAAGATTAAAAGATTAATAAATGATGTCCATCTTCAAATATAGAAACTAAAAGATTATAGTTCGTACTGCAGATTTGCACTTATTCTTACTGCAAACTATTCTTACCGCAAATTATTTACTGAAATAAGCTAAAAAAAATATTTTTTGGCACTAAATACTTTGCATATTGAAATATGGCATAGTAGTTTAAAATTATTTATAACAAATTAAAGTAATCATAAGATAAATCAATTAAAATCTGTGCCTAATATTTCCTGAACGGGGTTCAGGGAGAAAAAAAAATTAGGATTATATCTATATGCTTTATTATTTATCAAGATTTGTAGCACATATTGATAAAATGCATACTTGTAGATGATATGAATTTAAAGTAATTAAGCACGTTTATGAAATATATGTTCTTTTACTTCTTAAAATTTTGTTTCATTAATTTCAGCCTTTTCTAATTTGAATTGTTAAATAAGAATAATTTAAAGACTTTTATACTTCTAAAAAATATAAGTAAATTTAAATAATCATTATTAAGAGTTTATAATTGTATAATTTTACAAAATAACTAGAAAAATGTTTAGAATAAAAAGGACTCTGAATTTTGATTATTTTGTCCCAGTCTTTAGTGGACCATCAACATGCCTTATGTTCTATGTTTCACAAAAAAACTTTTCTCCTATCATATAAATTTGAATAGCAACAGGTTATTATTAAAAACTAAAAATATAATATTATAATTGCAATTTATTTTATTATCCTTATCGAAACAAATTTTTGAAGATAAAATAGTAAAGTTCAAGGATTATTTAGCTGGGCTCAAATATAAATTGTTTAAATAAAAAAAAAGAGCATACTTTAACTGAGCCTTGTGATTCTTTCATATTATTTGTAGTTCCAGTGGTATAGCATGTTAATGGATAAACAAAGAAAAATATTAAACAGCATTGAAATAATTTAGCCTGATTAACTGTGTCAGAGTAGATCCAATCTGCCCTGTCTATTCCTATGACATCATTGTTTTGCAGATATAGAGTAATTGATTTGTAAAAACAAAGTATCTAAAAATAAATTGTGTCTAGGTAGTTTAAAAGAATAGTAACCTTCCATGAAATGGAAGTAGAAAAGACATTTCTTCCTGAATGGTTTTTGATAACATTTTGAAAGAAATTCAGGTGTATAATATAAGTATAAGACCTATTTTTTTTAAAAAATATTTTGTTTTCTTAAATCAAACAAGTTATGTTTTTATTATATAACATTTTACTGTGTTCTTTTAAAAAACAACAAATTATTACCCAAAAATGATGAAACAAATCCATGAAGCCATTGAAATAATTAAATATTCTTAATCAAATCATGTTCATTTTATTTACATTGAATTTATTTTTCTGCTAATATCTTATGATTTCTTTCAAGTAGTAAATGTAGATTTGATGACAATAGATTTTTTATTTCTATATTTATGATAAATTGTATTATTCTATCTGTATAGTGTTTTTCCCCCCTGTATTTTTAGTTCATTATCTGAAATCAAACCCACCAACAAAATTTTTTTTAAAAAAAGAAAAAACTGAAAAATGACTCATATGAGAAATAAAATGTTATCAACCTCTGCACTAGATTTAAAAAAAAATATGTACCAACTTTCTTTGAAAGCTAAATCGGATGACATTTTCCAAAAATAATAAGGGATAAAATCTTTTTTATGTGGATTACACATTAATGCTTATTAAATAATTCAAAATAACACTTTACTAAGGGTAAGATAGAACAAATATCTCTCAAAAGGGAATTATGTATATGTTATTTTCATGTAAAATAATTCAAAATAAAATTTTTCAGCTTTAGTTTAGTTAATTACTTTTTTTAAAATTTAGTTGATATTCTGAGCTACTTATTTTCCAATAAAATATATAAACAAATAATAGTTTTAATCAGAAATTTAAAAAAGAAAAATCAACTAAATGCTGATTGAATTAAATTAATTTTTTTTAAAAAATCAATTAAACTCTGGGCTAACTTTTATATTTTGTCATTGTAAAGTTGCTTGCTGCTAGTTTAAAATGTTTTTGATAGGTTAACATTGTTAACATTTGTTATGTTAAAATTTTTAACTGCTTTTTTAATTGTTATTGACACCGTAAAAACATTTTTGTAAGGAATGAATTGTCTGTTAATATAAGAGTAATACCGTGCTAATTAAAACAAACATTGATGGAAATGCTGTAACTTAATTACAAAAGAGCTCAAGCTGTGTAGAACACTTTTAATGTATTATTACATTTTAATTAGATGATTCTTTTTAATATTAAATCGAATCAAGATGACTTCATATATTTGCAAATCATTCAGTTTATTATGGGAAATTTATGTATTTATTTATTTGTAGCAAGCCGTACATTTTTATCAGAGGCTTACTTCTGTGAAGAAACCTGGAAGAAGAGAATGGACAGTTCTACTTTAAAAGATATTAAATTAGGTAATAGCTCTTATATATATATTTTATTTAATTCATAATTTCAACTAGAATTTAGAGAAAAAAAAATTATGTGCTTGGAATATAAATTCTATGAGTTTGAACTGAGCTAAAACAGATCTTTAAGGTACATTGAAAATTTCATTTGCTACCCAGTTGTTCATAGTTCTGCTAGTTTTGTTGCTCTGTTATTTGAAAAATAACTTACTAAATGTTTTGAGTAGTTACTTTTCATAATTTGATCCAATTTTAATGCTTATATTTAATCTTTCTTATGTGTATTATACCTAGAATGATGGGGTGTCCCCTTAGGTATATTTGTTGGTATCCCATTACCTAAGGTAGTTTTGGGTATAAGATGCTCTTTGGTATGCATTTATTGAAAAAAAGACTAAATTATCTAAGAAACTAATGTACCTATACTTTGAAAACCAATGTTCCGTTGAATCAAATATTTTCATGCACCAAATCGAATAAAGTACCATAGAATATTAATAATTTCTGTTATCTGTTTTTATGAAATTAATTATGATTATGTTTTAAGATTCTGGGTGTCTATGTGATATAAACACAAAGAATCTGGGAAGGGCCAAACTGGCCCTTTCAGTCTTTTTAAGTATACAGCAATTCTTTCTAATGTTAGTACAAAAATAGTTAACTAACAACATCCAAAAGTGTGAATAATAACTTTTAATAATGCTAAATCTCTGTGGGTGTTTAACTATCACATAACCTCAACATCAAATGATTTAACTCCATTTCACAATATTAAGTATGCTGATATACCCTTTTTTTTCTTGTCCGTTTCAGCTCATAATTTATTTGCTTATATTTCCATAATATGTTTACTAATTAGAGCTTTCTTGATAAATCCTGAGTTTAAATGTTAAATAAAACATTTAATTTTTTGTAGATCAATATTTTGTTGATACTAATAAGAAATTTGGAACAAAGCGCCTTGTTAGTGGAGTTGATTTAGATATTGTAAGTATTATTATTATTTATTTATTTTTGTATTTACTGATTTTCTTAATATTTTTCTGAAATTTAATTCTTTATCACAAATTAATATTCCATATCTCGATGTAAAATATTATAACTGTGCAACAACAGATACATGTTTCGTAATATTTTAAAATGTATATATCTTGCTTATATGTTTATAAATTAAATAATGCATGTGATTGCTGTTATGGATTATTCTGTTATATATTTAACATACTAGGAAAGATTTCCAGCCATTTTGATTTATTTATGTATTGCAAAAATTTTTGTTATTTTTTAGTTGAGATGTTTTAAATTGGTATGAATTAGTTTATTGTTATTTGTGAGACTGCTGTTGTTATATCATAATTTTTCCAATTTTACTTTAAATTATGCTCATAGTTTTTATATGTTTGTAAAGCCAAAAGTAGTAGGAGTTTCAAAGCGTCAATAACGCTAAAATTTCTGGCTTAGAGCTTTACATGTATGTGAGACAGAATAATTCACGAAAAACAAAATTTCATCTATAAAATATTCAATCATATTGTTTGAAGCTAATATTTGCAGATAAAATGTTTACATGTCATTGTAATGATTGTGATTTGTAGTGTGCATAGTGATGATTTTCTTATTATTATTGCCATATATAGAGTGGGTACAAACAGTGAATATGCAAGAAGAAATGTTCTCAAATAATTTTGCTAGCTTTAATGTGTGAAATTATCCAAAACTCGTTATTGGTAAAAAAAAATTTAACCGTGAATTTAAGTACTATAAATTTTTTCCAATGCAACTTTTTTCCTTTCTGAAAAAATTTTATTATGCTAATTATCTCTTAAAGAATAGTTTTGTTTAAATTACTAAACATACATCGCTTAACATACCATAACCAAGTTTTGTAAAATTACCAAGATTACAAAATTAAGAAATACAAATTCACACTTCTACAAAATAAAAAATAAAAATTTTACCTCAAAATTTAACTTTAACTATGATGTCGAAAACATTTTTTTTCCACTAAAATTACTAAAATGGTATCAGAATAATAAGAATGTAATTTAGAAGTTATAATTTTTTTTTAATATATATATATACTCTTTGATTTGGAAAATTTTCTTTTCTAATTATTTTTCCACCATTTATTTGTAGAAATTCTATTTTATTGCAAACAATACACTGTTTCTAAAATCCAATACCAAATGGTTACCATCTAGCACTCGATTAATAAATTATTGCATGCTTATTGTTGCCTTCTTTCAGGATTCGCAAAGGTGAGTGCAGCCCAGAACAACCCAGTGTTTTTTTTTTTTTTTTTTTTTTCAGATTGGGCCCACTTGATAAAATCAATCTTTGTACCCACCAAGTGGGTTCGTTCACAATTTATCATTTCCTATCAATTTTCTTTGTAATTATCAAATCAAACTGTTCTTTGAAATTATCATCTTATTGTTTTTAAATTTGACTTAGTAATTTATATATAAATTATATGAAGTATGACTTACTTCATTAATCTGAATTTTGCGTATAAAATTATGAAAAATAAATGAAACATGAAAAATTGAGATATGCACGAAAAAATAAAGTACATTATTGAAAAGGCATATTGTTAAATTTTATTATAATACTTATCATTGAAACAAATTATATGTAATCTGCATACACATATTTGCATAAGCATACACATATAACACTTATTGCATAATTTATTTGGATTGTAAACCCTTCAGCATCTGTTAAAATACATCAATGGATATATATTACAAATATCCAATATTTCAAAATGAAAATTATTTTTTAGACAAAGAATATTAAAAAAATTTTCAGTTTTCAGTTAAAAAAAATTAATCTGTATTAAGTATGTTAAAAGAATTACCAAATTAATACTTATAATAATTAACCAATTTTATATTAAGATCTCAATTGTTGTCTGTTCCCATTTTAATCTACTATACCTGTTCCAAAAAAATCTATTTTTAAAGATAAAATTTAGAATACTAAACCCAGAACTTGACAGAAAAAAAAACATCATTTAGAATTTCAGTTGTTAGTCAAAACATTTTATCTAATGACTCAAGTATTCACTGCTTCCTTATGACAGATAGAATAGGAAGAATATTTCAATAATAAGAAATAATGAGAGACATTTGATATTTTAAATTTTGGTTTCATAAAATTTTCAGGGCACTTGATATTTAATATATAATTTACAGTTTTATGTGTACCAAAAATTTATTTTTTTTAATATTTATGAATCTTAGTTTAGTTTGCTGATATTTTATTTGATAAAAATTTGGTAAGTTCTGTAATTGGTATAATTACAAAAGAAAATTAAATTATGAAATGAACATATAATTATTCATATTAATGAAATGTGAATGCATATTGTAAATATTGGTTGTTCTTGATATGTTGATTTGTACATAATTATTCATTAAATCTAATGAGCATTTCTGTTATTTCAAAAGCAAAGTGAATAATGAAGACAAAAATTGATAATTATTTGTATATAGCAAAGCATAAAAAATTCATACATTGAAAAATACAAATAAATATACCATATGAAACAAAAAGATGAGTATTTCATTTTGTAAATGTTTATAATGCTTCTAGAAATTAAATTAACTTTAAAACAAATTATGTGTTTATTTATAATTTTAAACTAATTACTTAACTTCTGCTTTACGTTGTGCGACGAATCTTTTCAGTAACTTTGTCATTTTGCAATTGTACATTTAGATGGTAAAAAAAAATGACTGAAATAATTATTCTTGTTACCATTTCTTTTATTATTCATTTTAGTAATAATTAAGCAGTATTTTTCATCATGTAATATATATGTTTATATTTAATATACTTAATTATGCATTTAGAATATACATGAAAATAATCATTTGTCTTTAGGCAAAATCGGGCCTTTTCTTGAAAAAACTCACTTATCATTGGGTAAAATTGGGTTTTTTGCTGAAAAAACGCACAGGGGCTGGGATTTTTCTAAATACCCAGGATTTTGCAAATCCCGTTTTCTTCATGAGTAAGGTTCAGAAATACAAAAACAAGAATCACTCTTTTTTGATAAAAATAATCTGTGTTTTATAACTTCTGACTACTTGCAATTAGTAATATTCTGGCACTTTAAAGTGTAATAAATTCATGAAATATGCTAATCATAATTTTTGTCAAAAGAGTAACAAAATGTATCTGAATGTATGATATAATGTAGCACATAGTAATAATTAGCCACCATTTCACTATGTGTTTGCTATTATATTGTTTATTGCTGTTTATTTAATCATTCATTAGTAGAGAACTAATAAAAGTGTTCTTAAGAACTTTAAATATTTAATATAAAAAATATTTAATTTAAAAAAAATATTTAATATAGAAGATATTGATATATTTATTTTGCTTGCTTTGTGAGTCTAACTGATTTGATTATTTGATTTAGAATTATGAATTTTTTACATTTGTGTGGAAAATAACTTTACTATCTGACAAATTTATATTTATTTAAATATTAATATAGTCATTGAAGAAAAAGCTAATTTTCTATTAATTTCCCTTAATTACTATTTTCATGCTCTTAATATCAACTCCAGAGTCCATTTTATTTTTGTTAAATTGAAATTTGAATAATAATGAATTCATTTTTTTTTTCTAGTTTGCAAGCCGCATTGATGATGAATCTCATCTTGATGAATTAGAACATTTACTTTATAGGTATATTTAAATTGCCATTCTATGTAATTTTATTAGATTTTCTCATTGCTTTAACTTTTGTGTTGCATTAAAAATATTTGTATTTTGTTTGTGTTTAATATATTTTTTTAAACTTTAGATAATTAATGTACAATGATATGTTACATGTTGTGAACGCTTTTAGGGCTTTGTTTAATCATTTCAGAGAATCTTTTATGTGAAAGCAAAAAGAAATTAAAAGATAGAATTGCTGTGAACTTTGATATGTAAGCTTAAAAGAATACATTACAAATTTTGTAGTATCACTATTTTCAATATTGAAAATCAAAATTTCTTTAACTTAATAATTGTGTTGGCAATTTAAAAGATTAATAGTTACTTTAAACAATTTATTTTCTTTAAATTTGTTTTTAATTTATTAAGAATGATTAAATTGCTTTTTAAATAGAATATTCTAAAGTATTCTATCTTCTAGTATAAAGTATTTATATATATTTTGAAGTAGTTTTCTGCAAATTCTTTTTTATCTTTCAAATATATTCTTTAAATTTGGCACAGTTCTGTATGTTTCATGTTTTATGCCTGACCTGGATTTACTAAATTGTCTTATAATAATCATCACTTTCTTTGCTACGACATTTGAATTTATATCTCACTGAAATTCTATTTTTTCTTCCTCTTCTGAAATATCTCCTGATGCTTTTAGCTCTTTAATACTTCTAAATGTTCCTAATAATCACATATTGCAATATTATTATCTTCAGTATCCAAACTAATTCTTCAAGAGTATCAGTTTCTTTTAAGTTTGTTGAATAAGCAAATTCCTTCCAATTTTTTGCATTAATAATTCATTGAGAATGATTTGTTTACATTAAAATAAAGTATCTTAAAATATTCAACAATGTTCTAAAGTAGTTTTCTATAAGTTTGTTCTCTTTTCTAATATGTTTTTCAAATTTCATGTGTTTTACTCCTAACCTAGGTTTACTAAATTATTTTATAGTAGTCATCACTTTGTCTGCTTCATTTGAATTCATGCCATATTTAAATTTTTCGATTTAAAAAATGTATAATTTAATATATGATAATTTTTCCTAACCTAAACAATTTTATCCTACTTAACACAACTTTTTAATTAAACATATGTAAAAAAAATATTTTAAAACTGAAATAATTTTTTTCATTTATGAGTAACTGTTAAACATATTTTCTGTTGCAAAATATCTCACAAAATTCATATACTTTAAAATATGATGCCCAAAAAATTACTTAATTGAATTATTACTGAGCAAAGTTTGTTTTTTCTAAGTAGGTTTAATATTTTTTTAAAAATATTTCTTGTTTACATTGTTTTGATAAAATTATGTAAATTATAATAAAAATTAAATGCCATTTAGAATTTACAAAATAAACTAATTTTAAATTGAAAAAAGAAAGAAATCATCTCTACTTGCTACTTGTTGCATTGAATTTTAAGTAATGTCTTGTCTTTTTTTTTTTTTCTTCTTTAAAGTAAAACTCCAATAAAGAACTTGCATTTAATGCTGCAAAATATTTCATTTGTAGATTTAGAAGAACTAAAAGAGCAACTGAAATGAGAGATTCTACTACTTATGCTGCTGTTCGTATCTTCTTGAAATTTAAGCAGTATGAATCCTTGTTTCGCATATTAAATGATAGAGAAAGTTCTGGTGTATTTCCAGATTTCTATTCATACAATATGTTGATGAACACATTTTTGTGAGAAAAAATGTTTAAAGGTAAGATCCTAATTTCTATAATTTTATAGCTGCTATTGTTCATAAAATTACTGTAATCATTTTCACGAAAGAAGTTATTAAAAAAAGAATAATAATCATTCTGATGGCTATTTGCATTTATTTAGGGAAAATTGTATTAGCTTGTGAAATAAATCTAACTATCAATTTTTAATTTTTGTGATAAATATATGAAGCATTGAAGTTTTAAAATTATTTAATAATTTAGTTAGATAATTTTAAGAAGCTTAATTTTATACATATTTCAGTTTAAATTTTTTAATTCTGTATATAATAAATGGATCATTTGCTGTATATAAACACTTTTAATTTGATTTAGCTCTCAGAAAATACTTAAGTTTAAGATTTCACTTTAAGTATCCAGTTTTAGAACTTAATAAAATAATTTTAACTGTTAATATGATGTGGTAGGTAAAGCAATTTGTTTAATCTAAAATTAATTTTAAAAAATATTCAACCAAAAATAATTAAAAGAATATAATAATTTACCACTATTTGTTTTACATGATGCTGTGATCCCTGAACGTGTAAAAAATAAAGCTAAATTTCTTGCTATTGACTAGAAAAGTGTTCTCTAAATATTATACTTGTGTACGTATATAAATAAACCATTCCACTATAGCCAATTGTTGATCTAGGAAGTCATGGAGATTCAACCTCTATCATTTACTTGGCCAACAATTGCAAGACTAAGGACATTATTTTGACAATGAAGTCAGTATTGTGTACTGACTGCCTCTACTTCCAAAATAAGTACCTATCAAGTTTGGTAGAGTTCAAGCCACCACCAGCAATAATACTCCAGTTCTTCAGAAATACTATTTGGTGCCTTAATCACAGTATCACCATTGTGGGGCTCTTATATGAAGTGTGACTGTTAAGTAACAAGACTATTGTTGCAAAACATTATATTTAGAATTTATAAATTTTTAGTTTATTACCTATAATCCACCCCCCCTCCTTAACCACTGCAACATACCATGTGAGTTTTTCATTGTTCAAAACAGTACTGGAAGTCTTTACTGTGAGTTCCTTTATGAGGTGTGTTACTTTTTCGTTTACTGCTTCAACAGACTGAAATCTTGTTCTTTTAAATATCGATATTATCTTAGGGAGCAGTTAAAAGTTGCATGATTAAAAACAGGGTAATAAAGCAGATGATTTTAACTCTGAGGTGTTTTATTTAACTAGAAACATATTGAAAAATAAAATAGAGTGAGCTGGCACATTCTTTTAAAAGGGAACCCATGACTTGTTCTTTTACAATTCAGGCTGTCTTGCATAATTCATCAAGGACTACAAGTTTCTTAATATTGATTAATAGTTTGACTTTCTGGGACAATCTGACAATAGTATAGATAATTCATCAACTTTTTTACAATATTTTTATCCGTGTTAGATGTGGAAGAGTGACCCTGATAAGAATGATCGCCTATACCTTGGCAATGCTTTAACCTATTAAGCATTCATGCATGTAATAATTATTCAATACTATTTACTTCTTATAATAACAGATAAGTTTCGATTGCGCTTTTTTGAAATTTCGTGTGAAATTTTGCAACAACTCATTGCTTTACTGTAATTTTCATATTTTTTTTCATCAAAGCAAAACAATAGCTCTAATTCAAATGACTGCCACAGCCAAATTAAATTATTTAAAGGCACAGGCGATACACATTTGAAAGAAAAAGCTTCAAGCTACACCACTTTCGATCGTTCACACTTGCCGAATGCGTAGTTCTTCTCAGGAAGCGTCAGTCTCGTTGTTTTATTGCTATGCCTCCTATATATGTGTGTGTTTATATACAGAGATGATTGTGCTCCGGAAAAAAACCGGATTTCTGGATTTTTCACTAACTGCAATCCAGAAGTTACTGGAAATCCAAGGTCCAAAAGTTTTAAGAAATCATCGATCACATTTATGTATAGAAATTCTTGTATGTTTTATTGAAAAATATTAGAACTGGAATTTATTCTTGGCATCTCTTTCATTTGTAAATATTTTTTTTCTGGTAGAATAGATGCTTAGAGATAAAAGTGAACTATCAATGATTTAAATTTATAAAGACATATATATTTTGAAATGCATCATTAATGATTTTACTCAAGAAAGTTTCAGAACTTTTGAGTTGAACTCACACCCACCCCTGTATGTATATATATATATATAAATATATATATACATATATANAGAATTACCAAATTAATACTTATAATAATTAACCAATTTTATATTAAGATCTCAATTGTTGTCTGTTCCCATTTTAATCTACTATACCTGTTCCAAAAAAATCTATTTTTAAAGATAAAATTTAGAATACTAAACCCAGAACTTGACAGAAAAAAAAACATCATTTAGAATTTCAGTTGTTAGTCAAAACATTTTATCTAATGACTCAAGTATTCACTGCTTCCTTATGACAGATAGAATAGGAAGAATATTTCAATAATAAGAAATAATGAGAGACATTTGATATTTTAAATTTTGGTTTCATAAAATTTTCAGGGCACTTGATATTTAATATATAATTTACAGTTTTATGTGTACCAAAAATTTATTTTTTTTAATATTTATGAATCTTAGTTTAGTTTGCTGATATTTTATTTGATAAAAATTTGGTAAGTTCTGTAATTGGTATAATTACAAAAGAAAATTAAATTATGAAATGAACATATAATTATTCATATTAATGAAATGTGAATGCATATTGTAAATATTGGTTGTTCTTGATATGTTGATTTGTACATAATTATTCATTAAATCTAATGAGCATTTCTGTTATTTCAAAAGCAAAGTGAATAATGAAGACAAAAATTGATAATTATTTGTATATAGCAAAGCATAAAAAATTCATACATTGAAAAATACAAATAAATATACCATATGAAACAAAAAGATGAGTATTTCATTTTGTAAATGTTTATAATGCTTCTAGAAATTAAATTAACTTTAAAACAAATTATGTGTTTATTTATAATTTTAAACTAATTACTTAACTTCTGCTTTACGTTGTGCGACGAATCTTTTCAGTAACTTTGTCATTTTGCAATTGTACATTTAGATGGTAAAAAAAAATGACTGAAATAATTATTCTTGTTACCATTTCTTTTATTATTCATTTTAGTAATAATTAAGCAGTATTTTTCATCATGTAATATATATGTTTATATTTAATATACTTAATTATGCATTTAGAATATACATGAAAATAATCATTTGTCTTTAGGCAAAATCGGGCCTTTTCTTGAAAAAACTCACTTATCATTGGGTAAAATTGGGTTTTTTGCTGAAAAAACGCACAGGGGCTGGGATTTTTCTAAATACCCAGGATTTTGCAAATCCCGCTTTCTTCATGAGTAAGGTTCAGAAATACAAAAACAAGAATCACTCTTTTTTGATAAAAATAATCTGTGTTTTATAACTTCTGACTACTTGCAATTAGTAATATTCTGGCACTTTAAAGTGTAATAAATTCATGAAATATGCTAATCATAATTTTTGTCAAAAGAGTAACAAAATGTATCTGAATGTATGATATAATGTAGCACATAGTAATAATTAGCCACCATTTCACTATGTGTTTGCTATTATATTGTTTATTGCTGTTTATTTAATCATTCATTAGTAGAGAACTAATAAAAGTGTTCTTAAGAACTTTAAATATTTAATATAAAAAATATTTAATTTAAAAAAAATATTTAATATAGAAGATATTGATATATTTATTTTGCTTGCTTTGTGAGTCTAACTGATTTGATTATTTGATTTAGAATTATGAATTTTTTACATTTGTGTGGAAAATAACTTTACTATCTGACAAATTTATATTTATTTAAATATTAATATAGTAATTGAAGAAAAAGTTAATTTTCTATTAATTTCTCTTAATTACTATTTTCATGGTCTTAATATCAACTCCAAAGTCCATTTTTATTTTTGTTAAATTGAAATTTTAATAATAATGAATTCATTTTTTTTTTCTAGTTTGCAAGCCGCATTGATGATGAATCTCATCTTGATGAATTAGAACATTTACTTTACAGGTATATTTAAATTGCCATTCTATGTAATTTTATTAGATTTTCTCATTGCTTTAACTTTTGTGTTGCATTAAAAATATTTGTATTTTCTTTGTATTTAATATATTTTTTAAACTTTAGATAATTAATGTACAATGATATGTTACATGCTGTGAACACTTTTAGGGCTTTGTTTAATCATTTCAAAGAATCTTTTGTGTGAAAGCAAAAAAAAAATTAAAAGATAGAATTGCGGTGAACTTTGATATGTAAGCTTAAAAGAATACATTAAAAATTTTGTAGTATCGCTATTTTCAATATTGAAAATCAAAATTTCTTACAATTGATAACTGTGTTGGCAATTTAAAAGATTAATAGTTACTTTAAACAATTTATTTTCTTTAAATTTGTTTTTAATTTATTAAGAATGATTTATTTGCTTTTTAAATAGAATATTCTAAATAATCTTCTAGTATAAAGTATTCTATATATATTTTAAAATAGTTTTCTGCAAATTCTTTTTTATCTTTCAAATAAGTTCTTTAAATTTGGCACAGCTCTGTATGTTTCATGTTTTATGCCTGACCTAGATTTACTAAATTGTCTTATAATAATCATCACTTTCTTTGCTACGACATTTGAATTCATATCTCACTGAAATTCTATTTTTTCTTCCTCTTCTGAAATATCTCCTGATGCTTTTAGCTCTTTAATACTTCTAAATGTTCCTATTAATCACATATTGCAATATTATTATCTTCAGTATCCAAACTAATTCTTCAGGAGTGTCAGTTTCTTTTAAGTTTGTTGAATTAGCAAATTCCTTCCAACTTTTTGCATTAATAATTCATTGAGAAAGATTTGCTTACATTAAAATAAAGTATCCTAAAATATTCAACAATGTTCTAAAATAGTTTTCTGTAAGTTTGTTCTCTTTTCTAATTTGTTCTTCAAATTTCATGTGTTTTACTCCTAACCTAGGTTTACTAAATTATTTTATAGTAGTCATCACTTTGTCTGCTTCATCATTTGAATTCATGCCACATTTAAATTCTTCGATTTAAGAAAATGTATGATTTAATATATGATCATTTTTCCTAACCTAAAAATTTTTATCCTACTTAACACAACTTTTTAATTAAACATCTGTAAAAAAAAATATTTTAAAACTGAAATAATTTTTTTTCTACATGTTAAACATATTTAACACTGTTAAATATATTTTCTGTTGCAAAAATCTTTCACAAAATTCATATACTTTAAGATATGATACCCAAAAAATTGGTTAATAAAATTATTACTGTGCAAAGTTTGTTTTTTCAAAGTAGGTTTAATATTTTTTAAAAACTATTTCTTGTTTACATTGTTTTGATGAAATTATGTAAATTATAATAAAAATTAAATGCCATTCAGAATTTACAAAATAAACTAATTTTAAATTGAAAAAAGAAAGAAATCATCCCTACTTGCTATTTGTTGCATGAATTTTAAATAATATCTTGTCTTTTTTTATATGTAAAACTCCATTAAAGAACTTGCATTTAATGCTGTAAAATATCGTATTTGTAGGTTTAGAAGGACTAAAAGAGCGACTGAAATAAGAGATTCTACTACTTATGCTGCTGTTCGTATCTTCTTGAAATTTAAACAATATGAATCCTTGTTTCGCATATTAAATGATAGAGAAAGTTATGGTGTATTTCCAGATTTCTATTCATACAATATGTTGATGAACACATTTTTGCGAGAAAAAATGTTTAAAGGTAAAATTCTAATTTCTATAATTTTGTCGCTATTGCTTATAAAATTACTGTAATCATTTTCAAGAATGAAGTTATTAAAAAAAGAATAATAATCATTCTGATGGCCGTTCGCATTTACCTATGGAAAATTGTATTAGCATGTGAAATAAATATAAATTTTTGATTTTCGGGATAAATATGTGAGGCATTGAAGTTTTAAAATTATTAAATAATTTAGTTAGATTATTTTAAGATGTTTAATTTTATACCTATTTCAGTTTAAATTTTTATCATTCTGTAAATAATAAGTGGATCATTTGCCGTGTATAAGCACTTTTAATTTGCTTTAGCTCTCCGAAAATAATTAAGTTTAAGATTTCACTTAAAGTATCCAGTTGTAGAACTTAATAAAATAATTTTAACTGTTAATATGATGTGGTAAATAAAACAATTTGTTTCATCCAAAATTAATTTTAAAAAAATATTCATCCAAAAATAATAAAGAAAAATATTATAATTAATTACCACTATTTTTTTTTATATGATGCTGTGATCCCTGAACATGTAAAAATAAAAATAAATTCCTTGCTATTGACTAGAAAAGTGTTCTCTAAATATTATACTTGTGTATGTATATAAATAAACCATTCCACTATAGCCAATTGTTGATCTAGGAAGTCATGGAGATTCAAACTCTATCACTTCCTTGGCCAACAATTTCAAGACTAAGGACATTATTTTGAGAATGAAGTCAGTATTGTGTCAACATACCGTGTGAGTTTTTCATTGTTCAAAATAGTACTGGAAGTCTTTTCTGCAAATTCCTTTATGAGGTGTGCTACTTTTTCGTTTACAGCTTCAGCAGACTGAAATCTTGTTCTTTTAAATATCGATATTACCTTAGGGAGCAGTTAAAAGTTGCATGATTCAAGACAGAGGAATAAAGCAGATGATTTTAACTTTGCAGTGTTTTATTTGACTAGAAACTTCTTGAAAAAGAAAACAGAGTAAGCTGGCACATTCTTTTAAAAGGGAACCCGTGACTTGTTCTTTTACAATTCAGGCTGTTTTTCATAATTTAGCAAGGACTTCAAATTTCTTAATATTGATTAATAGTTTGACTTTCTGGGACAATCTGACAATAGTATGGATAATTCATCGACTTTTTTACAATATTTTTATCCGTGTTTGAAGTGGAAGAGTGACCCTGATAAGACTGATCGCCTATACCTTGGCAATACCTTAGCCACTTAAGCATTCATGCATGTGATAATTATTCAATACTATTTATTTCTTATAATAACAGATAAGTTTCGATTGCGCTTTTTTGAAGTTTCGTGTGAAAATTTGCAACAATTCATTGCTTTACTGTAATTTTCTTATTTTTTTCATCGAAGCAAAACTACAGCTCTAATTCATATGAACGCCACAGCCAAATTAAATTATTTAAAGACACAGGAGATACACATTTGAAAGAAAAAGCTACAAGCCACACCACTTTCGATCTTTCACATTTGGCGAATGCATAATTCTTCTCAGGAAGCATCAGTCTCGTTGTTTTATTGCTATGCCTCCTATATATGTGTGTGTTTATATACAGAGATGATTGTGCTCCAGAAAAAAATCTGGATTTCTGGATTTTTCACTAAATGCAATCCAGAAGTTTCTGTAAATCTACGGTCCAAAAGTTTTAAGAAATCATCGATCACATTTATGTATAGAAATTCTTGTATGTTTTGTTGAAAAATATTAGAACTGGAATTTATTCTTGGCATCTCTTTCATTTGTAAATATTTTTTTCTGGTAGAATAGATGCTTAGAGATAAAAGTGAACTTATAAATAATTATTCATTTAAATTATGCTGCATATAATTTCATTATAGTTTCATGTTTTGAAAATATCAATGATTTAAATTTATAGGGACATATATATTTTGAAATGCATCATTAATGATTTTACTCAAGAAAGTTTCAGAACTTTTGAGTTGAACTCACACTCACTCCTATATATATATATATATATATATATA